CCGTCTCAGTATCTGGGCGTGATCCGTTGGAATCCACGACGTGCTTCACTGCGAGTCGAGCGGAGAGCATCGCGCTTCGTCGACGAAGCAGTGATCCGTGGAAGGGGCTTTCGAGCACTTGCGAACGGTTTCAGTGGGCGAAGGGCCCAAATGTGGATGCTTCGCACCTGAATCTCGTACGCTCGACAGCCCGACGAGCCCTATCGCGCCTCGATCTCGCGTTAATCTTGCAGCCCGTTCTGCCCGTCCTCTACTTCTATGCCGTACCCCCCCTCTACCCCGAATGCAGCTGACCCGTTGTCTTTTCCAGTCGTCAACCCGGATCGCGAGCCTGGGCGGGTGACGCTAATTACACGCTATGGTGCGAACAAGGTATGCTTGCTTGTACGCTTTAGTCATTGGGAGGGGTTGGTAGGCTCTGTGGACTCCGCGACCCGCCTATATTCACCACATCACACCTTCACTGTCCGATCCCAGCGGTTTCCTTCTTCCCTTCTGTCCCTGCTTCGCACCGCTCTGCCTTCTCTTCCTCCTCTGTTGGATATCTTATGTTTTCCGTACTTCTTTATTCACCAACATGCAATTGCGGCTTTAGATTCAAGATCACCTCCCAACACACATCACAAGCGTCCAAGCATCCGGGCACCCTGTAGTCTGGATCTGTGATCCCATGCACGGAAAGTACGTCTTCCTAATCCTCTACGCACCGAGTTGCCTGCACAATGAACGCCCTACCTCAGCACAAAGACCTCGACCTCGGGCCTCAAGACACGGCACTTTGGCACGATCGTGTCCGAGCTGACGGCGTGCCTTCGCATCCACGCAGCGCACAAATCGCGCCTCGGCGGCGTGTCGCTGGAGTTCACAGGCGAGCTCAATGACCAGGGGTTCAGCGTGACCGAGTGTGTTGGCGGGAGCATGGAGCTCCCTGAGGAGGAGCTCGGGCTGCGGTACCAGGTGCGTTCGCTTCACTGCTTGTGCTTGTGCTTGTGCGTGGATCAGTATACTTACATCTGGGTCGGTGTAGTCTTTCTGCGACCCGCGCTTGAACTTTGAACAGTCGCTCGGTATGTGCTTGAGCTGCGTGTTGATTTTTAGGGTCCTGATTGCGGTTTTAGATGTTGCGTTCCTCATCTCGAACCATTTTAAGAAGGAGCGCCGGGGCGTGGTTGATGAGGTTGACAGCGACGTGCTGTACACCGAGCTTGCGGGCCGTACGCAGTAAATTGGCGAAAACGAGCAAGATCCTTCGTACCAAGGACAACAGATTTGAAGTGAAGAAAAGCCATAGAATTTCAATGTAACATGTAACAGAATTTCAATTCACGAAACTGATTCACAACGGCGAAGCGCATTGATTTTTTTTGCATGCATGCATTGTGGTCAACTATTAATCGATAATCTGTCTTGCCTGCCGCGGCACGACCCATCCCTGAACTCCCCATACCGCCTTAACCCACTCTTCTGATTTGTATTCTCTTTCACTCCTCGCAACAGTAGTAGCACCCCTTGGCTATAGGCTACCAGCACCGGCATATTTCGACATCGCTAACGCAAGATGCCGCTGCCACGCACAAGGCCCTGCAGGATTGAGAGCGGGGGAAATGATTGATTCCACGGCCGAAAGGAAATCCTCGCATCCTTGGACACCGGGCACTTCGAGTTGCATAGTCGCATATGTCTGATGGTGCTTCTATCTACTAATGGGAGCTGTCGTGAGATAGGGATAGGCAGCGACAGGGCTGCGCGCTGGCTAAATTCCGGATTAACACTGATATCACCGCTCTCTTTCATAGAGGTCATAGATCCGTGGCCTTGACGAGAATCTGCAGTACATATACAGTGCGTTCTGGACCCTGGAGTCAAGGCCGCGCAAGGCCGCCGAGACCAACTGCAGCATTTTGGAGATATCGTTACGGACTGGAGTGAAATAGCGTGGGCGAGGCCGGGAGATAGAGGGAGATAGCTTCGATTTCTTGGAGATAGTAGCCTAGTTGATGGATTTGGAAATGAGTAGGTTTGGGAGTATTAGAGTAAATATTCCTGGTCGCAAACGAAATCAAGATTAAATAACCCCAAGCGTTGACTCCGAGCTCAGATGTTCACCGGGACGTTAAGACTGTTTACTATCTTGAAGCCCCTGAAATTCCATCGTGCATGTGGGCCGTTGTCTCCCTGAAGCCCTGCGCGGACGCAATTGTAGTGGATGACTTCCCGTAAGGATTTAGAGAAATCTAGCGACATCTGAAGCAAAAATCATTCAGATCGGAGTTTGAATTCATTAAATTTAGCGCTCCCGTAAACAATGCTCTCCAGACTGCTTCAGACCGTTTCAGACTACTGTGGACTATATTACCCTTCTCTTCACCTCTGTTTTTACTTTCAATTCAACAATATAATGCACTCCTCATGTTTGTTGTAACACAAGAAATGCATAATCTCCAATCCTATGGTGAATAAAGTCATCTAGTGGTCAAAGAGAATTTTTGTAAACCTGTTGCCAGGACGGTCGCCGTGTTTAAAGTCAAAAATCTAGAGAAATCTGGCGAGGGGGGGAAATTGCCAAATTGTCGCTAAACCTCGGCTACGCTCGGCTGTCAAAAATCTGAAGAAATCTAGAGACTTTCAGATGTCGCTAGATGTCTCTAGATCCTTACGGGAAGTCATCCAGTATTATATCACTGATCAGGCCGTCGGCATGTGCGGTTGCAATTGGTACTAGGTGTTGAACCTCGATCGAGTCGACAAAAAATCGGCATTCAGGGCCTTTGGAGGGTCATTTTCGACATGCAAGACGAGATTTAGATGACAAAATCAGAGCCCATGTCCATCAGACAGGATGAGGCAGTGGTGATCCTGCATTGATTATCTTCCGGGGGTGGCCACGAGCAAAAATTTTCACTACTCCTTTGGGGTAATAAAGATCTACATGAGCACCCCATCATCACGCACAGCGCTGTATGTATGGGCTATCCATCCTCTTTACATGCTTATATACTAGCAAATCTTACGAGGTGTTATTGATATCGTAAGGGTCAGTACCTGTTTTTAAGCAGTGAGCAAAAGCGAAGAGGAAGTGTTGGGTTTGATTTCGCTTACCGCATGCCGTAGCGTGGACCTGATAACGAGCGGGGGTGCTGTCATCTGGCGTGAGCTTCGTCACTGTTACCCCGGTTTTCCACTATTCCGAAAACAGACTATTATCAGGCAAAGTTCGATGATATGCAGTGGAAAACTGACGTTGTAATGTCCAAAGATTCGGCTGCCAAAAACTATCGCGACCAGCCCTGTGTTTGATTTATGGTTGTACCCAGCAGTATAGACCGCCTGTCTACCAGGTGGAATCGCGTAAGAAATAGTATTCGAGGTTGTTTTCGAGCTCGTGTCGCTTGTCGAAGCGCCGCCGCCGACCGTCAGGCCTTCGAAACTGAAGCCCAAATTTGCGTTCACTGAGGTTGAGGATGAGAACGAAGTCTCTCCACCAAGCGTTACGGTCGTATCAGTAGTCGATCCACCGCAGCTGAAATTAGCGTTCGTATTCAACGGCTGAGTGCATGCCTTGGGCTAGTTTATGCTTACTTGAGCTGCGCGCTACCCATATTTTTGAAAATAACCACGTCAGGGTTGCTAGTGGGGTCGATCTAAGAAGACGTTCAAATATCCATCTACACCAGCGGCAAGGTCCAAGCTCACCAGGTCGCACGATTTGGCGCGCGGGATATTCGGATTCGGAGAACCTGTATTCCATGGTGAGAAGCAACACAAACCTGATCGGTGGATCTGACAAACCTGCAGCCCCAGGACAAGCTAGCAGTATCTCCTCATTAGTGGGCACATCTTCTCTGGGGAAAATCATCGTATCGTTCGACGAAGCTTCCTGGGCTGCGATCGCCTGGAAAAGGAGAGGAAGAGCGAGGAGAAAAATGGCCAGCATTTTTGGAGAGGTGGATAGGGGTTTGGATATAACGACCTGCGTTCAGCTATTCACTCCGAAGTTATCAAAACTCGCAGTGTGAGGGACAAGTTGGGACCAGTGTGCAACTTTTATACAAAACTGAGGACGGCGGCCAGGACGGACTACTGATCTAAACGCGCCGTTCAACCGAAAAACATCGAGAGGGTTGGCAACCATAGTCCCCGGTAAATTGCCACCGACCTGGTAAAATCATTGTCGCTGGTGGAAAATGAAGGTCCGCGTGTTGGGCTCGGGCCCCACAGCCGGGTCCATACGCTTCGCAACGACGGATCGCAAGTGCACAACTCTCGTGGCCTACTATGCGAATTATTATTCAGTGCTCTATGGCGTAGCTTGTAGCTTCTACGGCGGCGAGCTTCACTAGAAATAAATCGCAGAATTTAGCACAGTACTCGTCGTAATATTCAACGGCCTCCGCAACCCTCTGTGATGAACGTTTCGCTTTGAATTGGGCCCGGGTTCCCCGATGGCGTTATTTTTATGGTGCAAAGCAGGTGGCTCGGAAGTCGCTGTATGCGCGTGGCATATCTTATCCATCTAGATTACATAGGTCAAACGAACTGTGGACAACAAAAGTGAATGGAGCCTGGTCTCCAAACAGACCTTGAAATCAGAGCATTGCTAGTCTGTCAGTTCGACATTTTATGAGACAGAGCCGCAATAGTTGTGGAAGTCAGTGAAAGCAGACCTTCAAGTTTACGTTATACTAATAGCAACGACATTCGAAGTTGAGCCACGTGACTCCGTATTCCTTGCATTCTACCACTACCACCACTACCAGTAACCCTCGGTAACGCAATCAGATTCAAGGAGCATCCATAGGACCTGCGGCTGGAAATGACTCGGATGACTGTGGGTGGATAGATGTCTGTGAATCCACGAACGTGCGCGCATGCGACTAGGGTAGGAGGCGGATGGATGAGGCTGGACGTGCTGAAAAGAAAAAAAGAAGCGCAAGGAGTCTGGCCATCTAGTGAAATCATATTCCATTGATTACAGGACTGTGAAGGAAAACTGACAAAAATTCGGGTACGGGGAATCGAACCCCGAGCTGCCGCGATGTCGGTGTATAATTTGCATGAGAGGCGGCAATGTTAGCCGTTACACCATACCCGACTCCTCTGGCGCCACTTGATTCATTATACGGAGCTACCTTTGGCACCCTTCGACAGCACGCATTTTTCGTCCCTTCCTTTGCGTTAGCGCGACGCAGACTGAGAATATGCAAATGCGAGGGTGTGTTCCATTGAGACTGTCACTGTCTGTTAGCATGGTCGGGGATTCAAACATCCATCGCTGCTCATCGATATCGATCATCACATCAACGTCAATGATTCAGGCCCCAGGGGCCTGCCAAATGATGTCCACGTCGGTGAGCCAATTTTGCTTACAGCGCTATGCAAATCGATAGAGCAGCGGTTTCATTGTTGCTGCTCAGGTACGTGATTCGACGAGATGATGGCCGTTACACTTAACCGCCAATCTTTCTGTACTGTACTATACCACAACCCATGCTTATAACGTATGCAATATCTTTCAATGAGATACGATGAGATACACTCTTTTGTGCTCTCTGGTATATGCCTTTAGTACCGATGGCCATGAGACGAGAGTCAGTAAGGCACACAACTGTTGCAATCAGTTTGCATTGAGTTCGGCGCAGTGGCCATCGCCTTGTCAAATCATGTACCTGAGCAGCAACAGTGACAGCGCTGCTCTATCGATTTGCATAGCGCTGTAGTTTCCTTACTCCATGATTCGACGATGAGCAATATGACCTAATCCGAAGCTCGTCTCCAGGCGCTCTCCAGGCTAGCTGACGTGAGATCCTACCATAATGCTTCTGGGGAGATTTGATGTGTTATTTGGGATAAGTACGCAATAAGTGTGAGCGACTCTTTGTTCAATCTGTCACTGAAAGGGGGAACGACTGGTCTGACTGAATTTATCACTTTCCTCAATTGAGTCGTCCTTGACCGTGCTTCCTCTCACGTTCAAGCCACAATAACCCCAGGTGACATGAAGCTGACGGCGAAAATTCAGTACAACACACTCTGCATTGTCTGTGGCGTGTCGGCATCTCTACGCGACCGACGAAACATAACCCTCGCAGGCAGTGGGTCCGTACGCAAACCCCTGTTTTCCTGTTGATCCTGACAGATCGCAATGTATCGCTCTACCCAGATGCCTGCCATTACTCGTGGTCTGTGGGATTCCAGCCGTTTCGGTATCGATAGACTGCCTTCATTCTTTCCTGTTTGTCCCAACGGTGATCTGTTCGAAAAAGCATAGCCTTTTACCGAGGTGCACATTTTAGGTCGGAGAATCCGTTGAAGAAATCTAGCTAACGTTTTTGAGTTCCATAACTTCCAGAAACGGGCTTTATTTGCTCGAACAATGATCTATTCGCGCAAACAGGAGAATTTTGGGGCTGTACATCGATACCGAAATGGCTGTCAGTGGCCGACGCATTCATTCGACTCTGACAAGTGACTCTGTGCCTACAACCGAATATAGACTTTTATCCATTCAGCATTCATTCTTAATGTCAATAACCTCCTTCAGTTCTCCTCTGTAACGTGCTCGGAGGATGGGATTTTCCGCATTTACAATGCTTTAAGAACAAAGAGGATGAAAGAGAATCCTCACTCGTCTCTACCATGTTCAGCGCGGTGAATCTACTGGCTCTTTCTACAATCTCGCTCGCTGGCCTTGCTACAGCGGCCATCGGCCCTTCCGCAACTCTCGTCATTTCGAACGCGCTCATCTCCCCGGACGGTTTCTCCCGCTCGTGAGTCTGCGTCAGAAATCGTTGGGCAAGAAATACTAAGCTGAAATCTAGATCCGTACTTGCTGGAGGCACATTCCCTGGCCCTGTAATAACAGGAAACAAGGTAAGATATATCCCTTTCTGAGCTACAGAACCTATTATCAAGCGCCTTGATCAGGGAGACCAGTTCAATATCAATGTCGTCAACAACTTGACCGATCCTACAATGCTGCGGAGTACAAGTATTGTAAGCGTTTTCTATGGATCTCAGAATTGTGCTAATAATTTGCAGCATTGGCATGGCATTTTTCAGAATAAGACGAATTTTGCAGACGGAGCGGCATTCGTCACACAATGTCCTATCGCCGCTAACAACTCTTTCCTCTACAATTTCCCTGTAAATGGCCAGGCGGGAACTTACTGGTACCATTCTCATCTGTGTAAGCATATATCCTTTCATCAGGTAGTTTCCACACTTACCCGATTTTAGCAACCCAATATTGTGACGGACTTCGTGGAGCGATGATCATTTATGATCCCCAGGACCCCTACATTAACTTGTACGATATCGACGACGGTAAGCTGATCAAATTACTGGTCGTATTTTGTCTAAATCCTTGAAAGAAACCACAATTATAACCCTAGCTGACTGGTAAACATTCTTCAATTGATTCGGATTCTTAAGCTAATGTTCATATCAATAGGTATCACCGACCTGCCCTCGAATGGGACACTGTCAGCATTCCGCCTCGATCGGAAGCTACACTTATCAACGGTCAAGGCCGATGCATAGGCCTCGGCTGCAGAACTATCCCCCTTTCTATCATCAATGTCGTCAAAAACAAGCGGTATCGTTTCCGCGTCATCGGCTTGTCTTGCGACCCGTCGTTCAACTTTTCGATTGACAAGCACACGATGACGATCATCGAAGCCGACGGAGAATACACGGCGCCTCTCGTAGTGGACTCGATAGTCATCCATGCTGGCCAGCGTTATTCTGTCATTGTCACCGCCAACCAACCCATCAGCAACTACTGGATTCGGGCGAATCCAGATGAGAGAGCCTTCCCTGGTTTCGATAACGGCAGGAACATGGCAATACTGAGGTACTCAGGTGCCGCTGCTGTCGAACCCACGACTGCGCTTGTTGCAAGCACTCGTCCCATGAACGAGGTCAACCTGCGCGCTCTGATACAGCCCACACCACCTGGCGTCCCCGGCGTCGGCAATGCAGACGTGAACATCAACATCGCGCACATCTTCAACTTCACAACCTTCCGATACGACGTCAATGGCTTCCCATTTGAGCATCCCAAAATACCAGTTCTCCTCCAGATCCTCAGCGGAGCACGCACCGCCCAAGAGCTCCTTCCCAAGGGCAGTGTCTACCCGCTCCCGCCGAATAAAGTCATCGAGATCTCGATACCTGGAACTGGCCCTGCAGTGGGCGGACCTGTAAGTAAGACCCTCCCAAGAGTACTGGGACTATTCTAATCCATCATAATCTCAATTCTCGCAGCATCCTTTCCATTTGCACGGGGTATGTTCTTCGTCTGGTAACCCAAAAGTCCAGATGCTAACACTTCCCATAGCACACGTTCTACGTTGTCCGCAGCGCCGACAGCACCAATTACAACTATGTCAACCCTGTGCGACGTGACACCGTAAACACAGGTGCGGAAGACAGTAATGCGACGATCCGCTTCGTCACCGACAATGCGGGACCGTGGTTCCTCCATTGCCACATCGACTGGCATCTAGAGATGTACGTCTCCCTTACATAATGCTCTTTTTGTATGCCTCTAAGAATGAGATTCCGTAGTGGACTTGCTGTTGTTTTTGCTGAGGACACCGCCGGCACGAAGCAACACGTTGACCCCATCCCTCGTATGTGCATGATTCCAAAATCATATCGACGGCTGGCTGACATAAATTTTTTTTTTCGCCAGCTGCATGGGATCAACTATGCCCCCGGTACGACGCATTGACAACCAGCCAGTTGTGAGTGCGGAAATGCCTCCCCCCTTTTTAAAAAATTTTTATATCGTATGGAATGCTTTGAATTGAGGAATTTTGTAACTATGTTCCGAATTATATTAAAACTCACGATATATATTCAAGTGATAGACTTTTAAATTTTGGTACAACTGAATTCGATCGTTCTGCCATTGTAGTCTGTCTCTTCGGACCATATAAAAATCCCCGCGATCTCTCTCAATCATCTATCAAGGCAAGAGCGACTAAACACGTCGCCACTAGTGTCCAAGAATTTGAGGTGAATCATTAGATGTGGGGGTCTCGTATCTTGAAAGCCTCAGCTGGCTCGTGGATTAGCTTATTCACCAACAGACTTTCTTCGGTCTTCCACACAACTTCGAGAGAACCTATTCTTCGAGAGACTCTATTCAAGTGTGAGTGAAACGCCGCTTGTAAACATAAATGAACCAAACGTCTTGCATCGCGCTGTTTGGATTAGAACTTGAAATGATAAGGGCTCAACGGTTCTAGTTTGTCAAAAAAAAGTTTTAAAGGTTTTCAAGGAACATGATGAGATTTCGCTTTTCAATCGGCACGATGAACCTGAGATTTTAAAGCTGAAGGTAAGACTTGAAAGCACGTGGAAGGAAGTAGAGTAGTGAGGGAATGATTATCTTATCAGACTGTTTAACTTATCTTGGTTTATTTAAATCGGGTTTAAACAAGTTTACAATAGTCTAATCTCCCGAGGTACGCGACTACCTTACTCCGACACTCTTCGTCACCCCTAATCCACAGACGCCAAGATGTGCATGCTCCGCGCGTGGTTTGGACTCCGAGTCCCCATTTTGGCTCTGCCCCCTCGATCTTGTATCGAGCTCCCTTGTCTCCGCGACGAAGGTGAGACATTCATGGACTTCTTCTTCATCCCGAAGACTGAGAATCCTTGTCGCCTTCCTCTCTGACATTCTCAGGCCTTCCGGGGTGAGTCGAACATGGCTTCATGGTCGCCTTCCTCTCTGACATTCTGATGGACTTCCTAGTTCACATTTCGGTCATTGTACACTACCTACTTTGCTTTACCCACCATCCTCCCCTTTTCTAACCACCACTTACGCCATCCTTTTCCAGTCTACCATACTTTT